AAGTCGAAATCGCTTAATTCTGCTTTTGGCGCGGTCTACGCAGCAGGAAGTCGAAGAAAGAGCGCTCGTCCTTCCTTTTGACTCATGAATCGAGGGTGACAGGAGTCAGCGTGAGAAGTCCTCCAGTTTGACATTATGTCAACATAAAAGCTTGCTGTGCAGACAAGCTCTTTCTTATTTTGAAATAACGTCAGTTCCGAAATAACGCTGCTGTGTTTACGTATCTCGGATGTGTCCTTTGTCTTAAGTGTACACATAGACTTAGAGCACTTTAAAGATTAAGCTGTCACTTGGTACCATTATTTCTATTTTCTATCTTTATTTTCTTTGTAACCATTTTTAAGATCTATATTCGCTAGCAGTTCAGAAATAGAGCAATAGCCATTGTAACCATTTGATTTATAAGCTTCTTTAATAAACCTGTAACTGTTTAAGCTTTAACCTGACTCCTTTAGTTGCTGTAACAGAACCAAGCACAATTTAAAAGAACTCCAGCCGGTCATAGGGAGCAGACGCAGGCAGAGCTGGGCATTTGGATCGTGTAGCCTCTAGGGGACAGATTCGTGGGGCACCTGTAAGCCTTCCCTAGGCTGCCTGCTGCGAAAGGGACTGTGTGCCCTAGCAGTTAAAGTCTCAGGTGTAATAAGCTCTCCTGCAAAACTTTGGGGCGTCTGTCAGACTGTTGGCTGCCCGCTGTGAAGGGACCCTGGTCCTAGCAGCCAAAGACACAGCCGTTAAACTTTGGGGCGTCTATCAGCCTGTTGGCTGCCTGCTGTGAAGGGACCTCAGTCCTAGTGGCTAAAGACACGGAAGTAAAACTTTGGGGCACCCATCGGCCTTCCCTAGGCCACCCGTTGCGAAGGAACCTTGAGTTCTAGCAGTTGAAGACTCGGGTGTATAACACACACAACCACATCTACTGCCTAAGAAACAAGGAGGTCAATGAGCCCCTGAGAAGAAATCTTCATAAACTGGTTGCTGTCAGACAGGAACAAAATTGAAAAGCACACATTTTAGCGAAAAATGAAAGAGAGACAGACTGAGATACTTAGCGTGCATCTACAAAGCACTCTAAACTCGAAATATGATAGCCAATGAAAAGAGCTTATTTTGAAATTTGGAGCATCTACACAGTGCCAGATTTCAAAACAATGTGCTTCTTCAAGCCATCCCTTCACCCTCATGAAATGAGGTTTACCGGGATGGTGAAATAGCGTGCCTGTTATTTTGAAATATATTTCGAAATAATGGGCAGCTGGAGTAGACGCAGGGTAGCTATTTCCTGATACATCTGGTATCCTGAAATAGCTGTGCAGTGTAGACATACCCTACGATATGTCCCAATTTTTCTTTCTTTCTTTCTTTCTTTCTTTCTTCTTTTCGAGCATGCATCTTTTATCCATTCGATATACATCTCTTTATACAAAATTGATGCTGTATGAACTATGTTTTACTGATTTTTATCCTTAGACTCACTTTTCAATAAAATACTCTGTTTCATTTATCCCCACATAAAATCTACCACCCCAATTCTGCAGGGAGTCGAACATATTTGGAGTGTTCTGGGTCTTCTCAACTCTCACAGAACCCAATGACTTTCATTCTCTACCTATTGGGTTCCTCTGTTGTCAATTACACCTCTGAAAAGTAGCTTGCCCCAAAAATGGAGGTATACCGATCTTGCGGAAAAAGGGGATTTTGCACAAAAAGAAAACATCCATGCTGCTTGTTTTTCAGCAAAAAACCCTAGCACCAAAACGGAGTAGCAGAAAATATGCAAATGAGATTGTGACTCATGCAAATGAGTCCCTCATTTAGCATTTTTTTTTTGCTGAAAAACTTGTAGTGTAGACTTTGTAGCCTAAGACTCTTAAATGTAAATTAGAGCTCAATAACTACACAGAACCCTGAGATCCAGGACTAGAGGCTGTAAACAAACTTTATGGGACGGTGGGAAACTTGGCCACACTCATGACAAGTGGACATGCACCCAGCTCACATCATTCCGGTTGGCGGATGTTTCCAAACCAGAGAATTCTGGACTAGGGAGGTCCAACCTGTATCTAGATCTCTATGCATAGTGTTATCAATATTCCCATTGATACAGATAAATGTAATGGAAAGAGAAGATGGATGGTCAACATTTTCAAAGCTCCTTGGCCCCAATCTCTGTCCCTCACCCAAATAAAAACGAATGAATAGGAAAGGAGCACTGAAAAACACTTGGCAACTTGTCAAATTCCTGCCTCGATATTGTCACATGGGCCTTGTTCACCCCAGACAGAAATTTATTGCCAAGTTTGACCAAAAAAGGAATTAAAGAATACAACCTTAGAGTCTCTCAGCTATTTTTGATCTTCCTCCAATTTTCCAATCTTGTTTTTGGCCAGAAATTAACATCATCCCCCTACACTGATTTTTAACTCTTTATATGCCCATTGTACCTCTCCTCACCCATCCCACCCTCCAGCTGTCCCCTGATGTAGGGCCATGTGGGACTGTGTAAATGGAGCTGTATACACTTTGTAGTTTCCTGTATCAGGGTTTTCTTGGATGAAAAGGACAGAAAATGAAGTGGGGGCTGGAGCACATGACTTACGAGGAGAGACTTAGGGAGTTGGGCTTGTGTAGTATACTGAAGAATGAGGGGGCCTTTAATAGCAGCATTTAACTTCCTGAGTGGGAGTTCCAAAGAGGATGGAGAGAGGTTCTTCTCAGCAGCGACAGATGGCACAAGAAGCAATGGTCTCAAGTTGTAGTGGGGGAGGTCTAGGTTGGATATTAGGACTTCATTGGGATGGGTTCCCTGATGAGGGGGTGGAATCTACATCCCTAGTGGATTTTTAATCCCGGCTTCACAAAGCCCTGACTGGGATGATTGAGTTGGGGTTGGTTCTCCTTTGGGTACGGGGATGGACTCGATGAATCCTGAGGTCTCTGCCAGCCGTTGGATTCTCTGAACATCCCAAAGGATAACCTGGCTGTAGTGATGCAGGGGGTATTGGTGACGTCATCATGCTGCCTAACAATGAGACTTGCTGTCTAACAATGAGAGAAGTGCTATTGCTCTGGAAAACTGGGTCGTCATGTGCTGACCCCGGTACAGTGGGGAAACTCCAACCTTTCAGGCCGCAAGAAACTAACGTGTTCTGCACCCAGAAAGAAAAAAGAGACTGAGGTTCCTCCAGTGACAAAATTCCTTACAATGGCTTGGAATACCATAGGTGGATAAACCTAGATGAACCTGCCCCTTCCTATCCCTCCTGTAGCAGTGATGGCACCTTGAATTGCTGGGCTCCAGGGCAACTTCCTTCTTTGTTCCCCCCGACCTGCCATAGGCCTGCCTGGTTCAAAGAGATGTCCTCATTTAATCTACCATAAAGAAAGAGATTTCGATTGACATCAGAAACCGCCCGTGCCCTGACTCCTGCGTTGCCCACCTCCTGCCCTCACGCCTGCATCCTGCATGCTCCTGTAGGTGACGGAGGGAACCTAAATCATGGATCTGGTGCTTAAACCAAACAAAGCAAGAGTTGGCCTCGGAATAACAGGCAGTGCCAAAAGCAGAGACTTGCCTTCAAGTCTGTGTCTCTCGGCAGTCGAACGGCTGGCACTGCTAACGGCACAGGAAGTATGGAAATACCTGCCACCAGGACAGTACAGAGACCCCCAGCTAAGTACTTAATAAAATAGTTTAAAACAAGAGGGAAAGCAGAACAATGAGCAGTGAATGCTTTCACTATCACCCCCTACGCAGGCCAAAGATATAAGTGAGGTACCCCAACATTGGTAGACATGGATACACACCATATGTATGGTCTTACCTATTAACATCATCTTTGATGTGTATCCATGTCTATCAATGTTGGGGTACCTCACTTATATCTTTGGCCTGCCTAAGGGGTGATAGTGAAATCCACACTATTAATTGAGCTGGTTCCATTGTCCCAGGTACAAATACGTAAGGGCTTGGAGGTCATCTGGCTACCGACAACTATTAATGAACTTCCTTCGACAATAAAGCTGACTCAGGTGTATTCATGTGGCTACCGACAACTATTAATGAACTTCTTTCGACAATAAAGCTCACTCGTGTGTATTCATAGCTTATCTGAGTCTATGGTCTTTGGGGGCTCTCAGGAAGTCTATTCTATGTGAAAAGAGACACCCCAGAGCCAGTCCCTGCCCCACAGCCCTTCCAGTCTAACTAATCCCCGTTTAGCTGGACCATTTGCTCCTGCTTCTTTTCATCATGCAGGAGCAGCCCAAAGCACCTTGAGTTTACCGGGGAATTGGTGCTTCAAAGCAGGATCGGGAACCCAGGCCTCTCAGCAGGCGTTTCAAGCTCCACAGCAGAACAGCCAGTGGGCCTTCACAGTTATGGCCTGCTTGACATTTGGGTGGCCGGGCGTCCATACTGTATAACATTGCAATACTTGTAAAATGATTCAAAAGAGTATGACATCTGGTGCTGGTGGACTGGTTGGTCCATGTTATCAGATCAATAGCTCCATGGGTATGTCTACACACCAGGGCTAAAATCAAATGAAGTTACACAACTTCGGGGATGTCAATTGCGTAGTTCAAGTAGGAAGAGCTTACTTCAACTGTTGGTGCGGTCTACACAGGAGGAAGTCGAAAGAATTGCACTCGTCCTTCCACTCCCCTTAGGCCTCGTGACAGGAGTCGTACTCGTCGAAGTAAGAAGTCCTCCAGTTCAACATTATGTCAACATAAGGGCTTGCTGTGTAGACGTGCTCTTTGTTATTCCAAAATAATGCTGCTGTGTAGACATACTGCATGAAAATAATGCTGCTGTGTAGACGTACTGCTTATGTCAACTTCCCATCACCACCCAGCCTCTCAAAGTGGGGGTGAAGAAACTAAGGGCCAGGAGATGGATGTGGCTCCTGGCTTGCCCAAATGCAGCCCCTCATGCTCAGGGCTCCCCCCAGCATTGGGAATCCCGTGTTATTGCTAAAGCCACTCACCATGGCCCCATGGCCTTGGAACATCAAAAAGCTATAGCCCAGCCCTTCCAGACTGTGGTGAGTGAAGGGAACATGGGGAGCGTCTTTCTCCTTCTCAGCCGGGGGCCATATCACAGAGGAGTTGGTTTGGGGGTTTTGTAGTTTGGAGGGGGGAGTCCTTTCTGACTTGTGTGTGTCCCCCAACTGATTTTCTGTGGGTCAGCAGCCCATGACCCAACAATGATTCCCAACAAATCCTGCCCTAATGTATAATATGTCACCCACTTACTCGATTCAGAATAGAGACCAAGCTATTCTTTTCCTCATACGTGCTTCAAATATGCCAGCAACCTCGGTTTAATAATCATGTGGCAGAGCTAACATCTGTATCATTGACTACAAGGGGGTTTGTGTCCGGCCAACATATGGGAGAAAGGCAACAGTGATTTTCTCCACATTTGATACATCCAAGGATCCATGTCTCCCATGTCCTTGCTCAAAATGAAGCGTAACAGACCACATCCACATTTTTCAGTACAGGAATCCACCTCTGCTTTTCCCATCGTGCGTACATTGCATGTTCCCTCCCACTGAAAAAAGTTATTTACTTGTTCCCATAACATAAGAACTAGGGGTGGTCAACTGACATGGATAGGTGGCAGGATTAAAACAAACCACAGGAAGTATTTCTTCACACACAACATAGTCAAGCTGTGGAACTCCTCGCCAGAGGATGTTGTGAAGACCAGGACTTTAACAGGATTCAAAAAAGAGCTAAATAAATACATGGAGGTTAGGTCCATCAATGGCTATTAGCAAGAATGGGTAGGAATGGTGTCCCTAGCCTCTGTTTGTCAGAGGCTGGGAAAGGGTGACAGGAGAGAGACCAATTGATGATTCCCTGCTCTGTTTGATCCTTCTGGGGCCCCTGGCATTGGCCACTGTGGGCAGACAGTCTGACGATGGGCTAGATGGGCCCTTGGTCTGAGCCAGTCTGGCTGTTCTTATGGTCACTGTGAATGGAGGAGCCCCTCCCTTTTTCAGCAAAGATAAGAATAGCTGGTGCACATTACGCCAGCAGGGATTTTCAAACTAACATAAAAAGCTTCAGGACACAACTCCGAGGCAGCTGGGTGGCTAACTCCCTAGGGTCCGTTTAAAAATGGCAGCCAATGTCAACTAGAGGGGTCAAATTGTGTTGATGCGGTATCTTAACTGTGTCCTTGGCTTGCCTTTGGAGTTCCAGGTCTGGAGATCAGACTGACCCGGGAGCTTTAGCTCAGAATTGTTATCTTGGTAACATTTAATTTCCTTCCTTCTATAACATAGAATTCACTTTGTTTGAGTGTTTGATTGTTGTTTCTATTGTTCCTAGCAGATCTATGAACTTGGATTTTCACTCAGCTTAGAAATTCTATCGGCATTGATTTCCCCATTGCTTTGTCTCTTGGATTAACGGTTCCCCCATCTCCATCCCTTTCCCACTGGAAATAGTTGTTTTCCATTACATCACCTTGGAGGTTATTAACGATACTTTCCAAGTGCTGTAATTTTCCTTTTGCATATTAACACTGTTTGTCCTCTATGCAATAATTGTAATTCCCCAAGCAGAAATGCCCAGGTAGGTTACATCATTGCGGATGAAAGAGATATATTCCAGCCAGGAGGAGCATTCATTTCCCTGAACAGGAATAACGACAAACTGCGCCCAGAAGTGCTGTAGGAGCCAGACATCCAGGTAGGAACTCCAAACTCAGTTTACTAAGAGAATGGAAGACTATCAATGGTAGAAGCAAATGAGAAATGTATCGCAAAGAGAATAACTGTGTCTTCGGAAATCGGAGGGATGGTCAGAGTCGGGGGGGCAGCTGGCAATAGATCATCAGTGTGAAATGGAAAGCAGCAGAGTTAAAATGAAAGACTTTAGAAAGAGGAAAAACTATCTGCTCAAGCATCCACCATGTCAGAAAGAATAGGATTGCGCGGAAATGAATGGAGAGCAAATCTTGCCCAAGAAAGCTCGCAGACTTAGAACATAGCAACAAGCATGGTGGGTCCAGCCAAAAGTCCGTCTAGCCCAGTGTCTTATCTTCTGAAAGTAGCCAACATGAGGTCCTTTCGAGGAAATGAACAGAACAGGCAATCGTCAAATATTCTCTGTAGCAACGCTACCACGCGCTCCCAGCTTCTGACCAACGTAGGCTAGGTCCAGCAACAATGCCCACCCTGTATACTGTCCACTGATAGACTCATTCTCGATGAATTTGCCTCGTTTATGGGCTCCTTGTGTATGTATTGTACGTTAGAACCTGGGAGTTTAATTGCTCCTAAATATTTTGAAACACAACCTAAGGTACGTCTACTCAGAAGTTCAGAACTTGAAACAAGTTACACAATTTGAGCTACACAAATTATGTAGCTTCTTTTGAAACAGCTTATTTTAAAATTTGGTCTTCATAGCTCTAATTTTGAAATAATTCTCTATTGTGGGATCTTCCTTAATCCTCATGCAACGAGGTCTACAGGAAGGTGGAATAATGGGCATGTTGTTAAGATGCGGTGAATGCCATTGCGTCCGTTATCCCAAAACAACCCCGCTGTGTGGACATGCCCCTAGTCTCTTTTCTTTCTCTGTGGCTACGTCTACATTGGCATCCCTTTTGAAAGTAGGAATAAGAGATCCTCCGGAAAAGGGCTTATTTTCCGGAGAATCACATCTAGACTGGCGCTTTTCTCCGGCTTATCCCCAAGCCGGAAAAAAGCGGCAGCCATGTAAATGCAAATGCCGCGGGGGATGTTTAAATCCCCCGCAAAATTTGCAATTCCGAAGTCTACATTAGCATCCCTTTTCCAGAAAGGGGAGCCAATGTAGACACAGCCTGTGTGTGTTTGTTGTGATTTCTTTTTTTATGCTGCACCGTTGTCCGTCTACCATTGCCAGTCCCAGACACGCGTTGGAGAAACATGAGGAAAGGAATGCAGATTTCTTGCTGTAGATATTTTTGCATCTAAATGAAAAAACAATCTGCTCCATTTGTTTAAAGATAGCTGAATATTTTGCTTATAATATTTGGAGAACTAAACTCTCTCTGTCTCTCTCTTTCTCTCTCATACACAAACACACACACACACACTCATACATACACAACCTGTAATTTTTATATTCTATCCATATAAATAATGAGAAGTCCTGTAGCAGCTCAGATATCTATAGTGTCATGAGCTTTGGTGGGCAAAAGCCACGTCCTCAGATGCGCTAGAGAGGAATAACAGAAACCTAAAATTTATAAACAGAAAATGAAAGGGAGAAAGGTAGCAGGAAATTGTGGAACGGGTGCTCATGAGTCTAACTAAGAGAGCTGGAAGTTTCCCATCCTTAGCTTTTGATGTAAAAATGAGATGCTAAATGCAGGAAAGGCTGATTCTGCATTACACCTTTCCAGTTTTAAGTTATAGACTAACACAGCTACCCCCTAAGAGTATGTCTACACTAGCCACCCTAGTTCGGACTAAGGTGCCTAATGTAGCATTCGAACTTACAAATGAAGCCCTGGATATTTAAATCTTGGGCTTCATTTGCATGTCCCTGGGTGCCACCATTTTTAAATGCCCGGTAGTTTAAACTACTTGCCGGCGGCTACACGCGGCACAGGCTAGTTAGTTCGAACTAAAGCTCCTAATTCGAACTACCATCACTCCTCCTGCAATGGAGGAGTAACATTCTCCTGACACATACTCCTTTCTGGATAAAAATGACCCTCTTATTTTTCTCTTGACGAGTGCCCATTTTTATGTTTCTTGTACTTCATTGGAGGGGGTTGGATTCTGGTCTTAGTTGCGCTTGTGTAAATCTGCAGGAAGGTGATTCAATTTACCACGGGTGTATCTGAGATGACGTAACCTGACCGTGGGGTTATGGTTTTCTTTTCTGGTTTGTCTTTTGTCTGTTTCTCAGCTGCATTTATCAAAAGGTGCCCATTTATCTTTGAATTTGCTGAGGGAGCTTGATAGATTTTTTTCCAAACCAAATCGTCATAGTGTTTCATTTGTTTTTTTATGGGGCATGTCTGTGCTGCCTCTCGGAAATATAATCCCCTGGGGTATGTCTACACTACCCCGCTAGTCCACTGAGCATGGGTGAGGCCAAGTTTCCCGTTTTCCAAAAAAGTTTGTTTACAGCCAGGCATCTGTCTGAACCACCGGGTCCTCACTGATAATTTTATCTGAATAGCTTCAGCACAGGTAGTGCACGTACCTCTATCAAGAGAAAATTACACTTCCTCTGTGCGAGGTAGATGGACCAGTCATTGAACACTTACTAGCTCCTTTTTCCTTCCTCCTGATTTTTTTATGTCTTCTACATGTGTTGATAGTGTTCAGATATCTAAACTCCAACCTTAAGAGTATTACTATAGAATTCAATGAAGTTAAGGGAGTTAGAAGGAGCATTTCTGCAACACAACAGGGATTCTGAGCCTTTGATTCACGAAGATCATAAGAGCATCCAGATTGGGTCAAACCACCAGTCCATCTAGCCCTGTGTCCTTTCTGCCGACAATAGCCACTTAATTTGGTGAGATCTTTTGGAAGCTCTTCACAGTCTGCTTTGGTCTTAACTATCTTGAGCAGTTTGGTTTCATCTGCAAATTTTGCCACCTCACCATTCACCCCTTTCTCAGTCTATATCACTTATAAATAAGTTGAAGAGGATTGGTCCCAAGACAGACCCTTGGGGGACCCCACGAGATACCTCTCTCCAATCTGAAAACGGACCAGTTATCAGTCCATGAAAGGACCTTTCCTCTTACCCCATGAGAACTAACTTTACTTAAGAGCCTTTGTTGAGGGAACTTGTCAAAGGCTTTCCGGAAATCTAATTTTGCTATATCCATTGATCCCCCTTATCCACATGTTTGTTGACCCCTTCAAAGAACACTGACATTGGAAGCCCAACCTCTTAATCATGTGAGTCTTCCTCGGTTTACTAAAGACTTCATTTTTCCAGTGGTGAGATGTAGTCATACCAGGGTACCTACTCCAGATTTCTAGCAGTGAAACTGACCACTTGTCCCAATTATATGCTCCTCAATATTTCATGTTCTTTTTCTAGAGACCTATGATGGAGAAAGTGGAAGGAAGAAACCAGACAATCATCACAGAATTCATCCTCTTAGGATTTGGGGAGGGCCCAGAACTCCAGCCCCTTCTCTTCTTCGTCTTCTTCGTCATCTACTTTGTGACTTTGACCGGGAACCTCTTCATCATTGCGCTAGTGGTGGCTGATCAGCACCTCCACACCCCCATGTACTTCTTCCTGTGGAACCTGGCCTTCTTGGAGACTTCCTATACGTGCACCATCCTTCCCAGGCTGCTGGCCAGCCTTCTGACTGGGGACAGAGCCATCTCCGTTAAGGGCTGCCTGGTACAATTTTATTTCTTTGGCATCCTGGCAACTATCGAAATTATAATTCTCACGGCCATGTCGTATGATCGGTATCTAGCCATCTACCACCCTCTCCGCTACACTGCGCTGATGAATGTCAGGGTGTGTAGCCAGCTGGTGGCAGGGTCCTGGATGGTTAGCATTGTGACCTGCACCATCGTGGATAGTTTCATGTTCCAACTAACCTTCTGCAATTCCAGGGAAATTGACCATTTCTTCTGTGATTTTACATCCATGTTACCGCTCTCCTGTAGCGACACCCAGACTGTGCAACTGCTGGCGCTAATTGCTGCTGTCATATGGACAGTTGTGCCCTTTCTACTTACACTTGCATCCTACGTTTGTATCATCTCTGCCATCCTGAAAATCCCATCCAATGGGAGGCAAAAGGCCTTTTCCACCTGCTCCTCCCACCTCATGGTGGTGACACTTCATTATGGGATCTCATTTGCTGTCTATGTGGTTCCAATAGTCAGTGCTCCCAAAGTATCGCAAAAAGTATTTTCTGTCTTCTGCACAGTCCTGACTCCCATGATCAACCCCATCATCTACTGCCTGAGAAACAAGGAGGTCAATGAGTCCCTGAGAAAAGCTGTTTGTAAACTTGTTGCCGTCAGACACAGGAAAGGAATTGGAAAGCACAAATTTTAGAATCAAATGAAATAGAGACCGACTAGAGATATTTAGGTTGCGTCTACAAAGCACCCTAATCTCGAAATAAGGTATGAAAGTTGTGCTACGCAAATTGAGTGTCTTCTTTTCAATCTCTTTTAAAATAATTAATTTTGAAATTTGGCACATCTACATAGTGCCAACTTTTGAAGTAACACGCTATTTCAAGCCATCCCTTTTTTCTTGGGCAATGAGGTTTACCAGGATGGTGAAATAGTGTGCCCAGTATTTAGGAAAATATTTTGAAATAATGGGAGTCTTGTGTTGATGCAGGATAGTGATTTTGGGATACCTGTGATATCGCGAATTAGCCATGCGGTCTAGACATACCCTACCCTCTTTCTTGCTTGCTTGCTTTCTTTCTGCCTGCTACTTTTAGAGCATTCTTCTTTTATACACATAATGCACATCTCTTTATGTAAAGCTGGACACGGTCTGAACCATTTTAACCAAATTGATCTTTTTTTTCCAAAACTTTTTTCAATAGCATTCTCTGCTTCATTTATCCACACACAAACTTTTCTGCTCTAATTGTTCAGGGACTTGAACATATTTGGAATGTTCTGGGTCTTATCAACTCCTATAGAACCCAATGTCATTCATTCTCCACTTGTTAGGTTCCTCTGTTGTCAATTATACCTCTGAAAAGTTGGGCTATGTCTACACTGAGGAACTTTTACGGGATACCTCAGCTATGCCGATTCCAAGGAACGTGTTGGCTTTTTTAGAACAAGTTTCCATAAAAGCAGATGCATTCTTCGGGCATCCCTGTATTCCTCATTGTGTGTGGAAGAAAGGATGTTCCAAAATTGAAGGCTTTTCCTAAAGTTGTCCATGTGTAAATGGGCCAAATGTCAGAAAAGCCTCTTCCAACAAAAAAGCGGGAAAAAAGACACAAATTGTGGTTCGCAATTTGCGTGCCTTTTTCTGACTTTTCTTTGCAGTGTAGACATAGCCTAGGCAATAAACGTTGCTAGAACACCCAGTGGAGACCTTTGCTTAGGCAGCATTCTCTACAGAGCTGTGGTTGGGCGAATAGTCTCCTGTCTGTGGAGGTTTGAGAGCCTCAGATTTCAAAAAGCGGGAAAAAAGACACAAATTGTGGTTCGCAATTTGCGTGCCTTTTTCTGACTTTTCTTTGCAGTGTAGACATAGCCTAGGCAATAAACGTTGCTAGAACACCCAGTGGAGACCTTTGCTTAGGCAGCATTCTCTACAGAGCTGTGGTTGGGCGAATAGTCTCCTGTCTGTGGAGGTTTGAGAGCCTCAATTTTCTGCTGTGTGAAATTTCCTGATGAATGAGACATTTTTGAAGGGTCAAGATTACATTAAAATACAGGCTGCCTCTCTGTACTGTGGCAGCTTCTGGACCTGATCAATTCTGAATCAGAGAATTTTCCAGATCATGGGAGGTCAGTATTGTCTAGCAGCATTACCAACACTTCCACTGCTTCTGGGCTCTTAGCAGACATGTAGCGGAATATCAGAGCTAAATAACAGCACAGAACATTGAGAGCTAGGACTGGAGGCTGTAAACACACTTTATGCGATGGCGGGAAACATGGTCACACCCATGACAATTGGACATCTGGCGAACTCACATCGTTTCAGCCAACGGATGTTTCCGGACCAGAACATTCTGGATTAGAGAGGTTCATTCTGTATCTAGATCTCTATGGATAGTGAGATCAATATTCCCATTGATACAGACAAACAAAATGGAAACATGAAATGTATGGTCCCAATTTTCAAAGCTCCTCCAACCCAATCTTTGTCCCCACCCAAATAAAACAAATGAATGAATGGCAACGAATAGGAAAGGAGAACGGAAGGACACTGGGCAACTTTTCAAATCCCTGTTCACATATTGTCCCATGAGCCTTGTTCACCCCGGACAGAAATTGACCGCCAAAATTTGACCAAAAAGGGAATTAAAGAACACAGCCTAACAAAGTCTCTCGGGTATTTTTGTTTTTCCTCCAAATTTTCCAATCCTGTTTTTGGCCAGAAATTAGCATTATTGCCCTCCAGTTATTTTTTAACTCTTTATGTGCCCAGTTGCACCCCTCTGTGCCTTTCCCACCCTCTGGCTGTCCCCTGATGCAGGGCCATGTGAGGCTGTGTAAATGGAGCTGTGTACGTTTTGTAGCTTCCTGAATCAGGCTGCTCTTGGATGAAAAGGACCGAGAATGATGAGGGGGCTGGAGCATGTGAATTACGAGGAGAGAAGAAGGGACGTGGGTTTATTTAACAGGCTGTGTGAAAAGCAGATATTTGCCCGCAAATCCGTGTCTCTCGGCAGTAGAACGTCTGGCACTGATAAAAGTACTTGAAGTGTCAAATTACCCGCCATTACAGCAGTACAGGGACACCCAGATAAGTACATAAAAACAATTTAAGACAACAAGAGAGAAAGCAGAACATCGGACAGTGAATGCTTTGGAGGGAAGTCCAAGGGGTAGTATTAAACATGCATCAGACGGTACGTACGGTGCGTTTCATAGATTGTTCATAAATGTTGGGGGACCTCACTTAACTCATTGGTCGGCCTAGGGGACGATAGTGAAATCCACACTATTGACTGAGCCAAGTCCATTGTCCCGGGTTCAAATACGTAGGGGCACGGAGGCCATCTGGCTACCGACACCTATTAATGTCCTTTGTTTGACAATAAACCTGTTTCAGGTGCCTCTGTATTTTATCTGAGTCTGCGGTCTTTGGGGGCTCTCATGAAATCTACTCTGCTGGCTCTCTGCACCGAGCTGGCAGGTGATACTGAGCCTGCGTTTTCATAGGTTGCCAAAGGTTTCTCATCACTGACAGAGCACATCTGTCAGGACGCCACCCCAGTGAATCCTGAATTTACTGTGTCGCTGTCCTGGACTACCACCACCTCCATCCTCTTGCCCTGGAGAACCTGAGCAATGCCAGGTAGAGTTGCTTTAATCGTGTGATGCAGTAACACAGCTAACCCGACCCGTCGGTAGCTACAAGTAAAGGAGGCACGTTCAAGAGTGCATTGTAGATGCTTCCCAGTTCTCCGGCAGGGCTACTCAGCCCTTAGTATCCCTATGAGGATCACTAGCCCAGAAATTTGGCATATCATTGCCCTATGCCCTGTGCAAAGAAAGACCCAAGAGCAGTAGTCTCCAAACATTTTACACCCAAGATCACTTTTTAAATGACAGAACAAGCCAATATCTATCTCCCTATCCTTCCCCAAGACTCCGCCCCTTCCTTAAAGCCCCTCCCTCTCTATTCTCCTCCTCTCCATCATTTGCTATCCCCAACCTTTATACTGCTATTTTTTTTTCAATTCTTCTGTAGGAAGAGGTTTTTCCAACATTTGGCCTGTCTAGACCAAAACTTCTTCTTTTGAAAACTCCCTTATTCCTCGTGGAAAGAGGAATAGAGGGGTGACCAAAAGAGCATGTTTCCTTTTCTACTAAAAAAAGAGGAAGAACAAACACATCCCTGGATGCAGAAGAGTTTTTCTGGGATATCTCTGGAATCCCGATAAACTCCTGCAGTCTGTCCGTACCGTTGCTGTGTTGAGACAGGGAGTATGTCTACACTACAGAGTTAGTTCGAACTAACTTAGTTCGAATTAGTTAATTCGAACTAAGCTAATTCGAACTAACGCGTCTAGAACTAAAAACTAGTTCGAATTAGCGTTTTGCTAATTCGAACTAGCAAGTCCACATTGAGTGGACTCTGAACAGGGCTTAAGGATGGCCGGAAGCAGTGCCGGCAGGGCATAAGAGGAGGACTTAGAGCATGGAGATGCTGTCTCAGGCTAGCCGAGGGCTGCGCTTAAAGGGTCCCGACCCCCACCCCGGACACACAGTTCTAAGGGGTGCCCCGCTTGCAAAGAAGTTCTGGCTTGGAGTGCCCTGAGTGCCCACACTGGGCACATCACACCACTCGGCCATCAGCCCGGCTGCACTTGCCGCAGGCTGCCATCTGGGGAGAGGGAGTAATTGGGGGGCTGCAGGAGAGCTTCCACCCCCAGAAGCCCGCAGAGCCAGCCCAGTCCTCCCCATCGGGGGCTCGTACCCCATTCCTCCCTCACCTCCTTCCACTTACCCTTCCCTAGCCCCCCTTCTTATTGATGTACAAAATAAAGATAACGTTTCTTCCAACATTGACTCTGTCTTTATTGAAAAAAACTGGGGGAGACTGGGAAAAGGAGGTGGGAGAGGGGAAGAGAAAGGCTGGGAGAGGGGAGGGCAACTAACATGATCAGGGGTTGGGAACAGGTCCCAGATGAAGAGAGGCTACAGAGACTGGGACTGTTCAGCTTAGAAAAGAGGAGACGGAGGGGGGACAGGATAGAGGTCTCTAAAAGCAGGGGTTGGGTGGAGAGGGTGCATTCAGAAAAGTTCTTCCTGAGTTCCCATAAAGAAGGACTAGAGGACACCAAAGGAAAGGAATGGGTAGCAGGCTTGAAACTAGTAAGAGAAAGTTGTTGTTCTTGACAAAGCAAATAGTTAACCTGTGGAACTCCTTGCTGCAGGAGGCTGTGAAGGCTACAACTAGAACAGAGTTTAAAGGGAAGTGAGATCAAGTCATGGAGGTTGGGTCCATGGAGTCCTATTAGCCAGAGGGTAGGAGTGGTGTCCCTGCCCAAAGTTTGTGGAAGGCTGGAGAGGGATGGCACGAGACAAATGGCTTGATCACTGTCTTCGGTCCATCCCCTCCAGGGTCCCTAGGGTTGGCCGCTGTTGGCAGACAGGCTACTGGGCTAGATGGACCTTTGGTCTGACCCAGTACGGCCATTGTAAGCTCAGGGCTCAGGGTCGGGGGTCTCAGTGGACCCCCTTGATTTTCATGCACACCTGCTCCGGGGTGGCCAGGCTGGCAGCTCTCCTGCCCTAGACGGCCACTTTCCTGTGCCTAGTGCAGAGATCGTGGACTTTAAAGTGCTTCATGACTGCTTTTTTTGGTTTTACCAAGATCAGACTAACAGGGCTACCTCTGTTAATTTCCACATCCTAATGCAGTGGTCTCCAACCTTTTTACACCCAAGATCACTTTTTAAATCTCAGAACAGGTGAAGATCTACCGCCCCGCCCCTTCCTTGAAGCCCCGCCCCTTCCTTGAAGCCCCGCCCCTTCCTTGAAGCCCCGCCCCTTCCTTGAAGCCCCGCCCCTTCCTTGAAGCCCCGCCCCTTCCTTGAAGCCCCGCCCCTTCCTTGAAGCCCCGCCCCTTCCTTGAAGCCCCGCCCTCTCTATTCTCCTCCTCTCCATCACTTGCTATCCCCAATCCTTATACTGCTGCTTTAAAAAAAAACATTCTGTAGAAAGAGGTTTTTCCAACATTTGGCCTGTCTAGACTGGACCAAATGTCAGAAAAAAAAACCCTTCTTTTGGAAGCCACCTTATTCCCTGTGGAAAGAGGAAGATAGGGGTGACCAAAAGAGCCTGTTTACTCTTCCACTAAAAAAGTGGAAGAACAAACGCAACCCTGGATGCAGAAAAGATTTTCTGGGACATCTCCAGAATCCTGAAAAACTCCTGCAGTCTAGCTGGACCCTTGCTGTGTTGAGACAGGATGTGTAGTCTCTGGGGTGGGAATGAGGGATTTGGGTGTGGGAAGGGATGAGAGGTGCAAGCTCTGGCAGGAAATCTGGATGCAGGAAGATGTGGAGAAGGGGACATTGGCTCGGGGTGGGGGCTCCAGGCCAGCCAGTGCTGGGGTCAGATGGAGGTTTGGGGTACTAAGCCAGCCACAGGCTTGTGGATCTGAGGGTGGAGGAATTTGGGTTGGGGTATGTGCGGGGTTCAGGGCAGAGGTTCCAGTGTATGATAGGCTCAGATGTAGGGTCTGGGGGAAAGGAGGGGACAGGAGTGTTATGATGCTGTGACCAGATGGGGGCTTGGCCAGGCTTCATTTTGAAATAAAATGTTATGCAGAAAAAAAAAGTTTCTGCATTGTCTTTATTTCTGAGAAGGGCGGGGACCTTGTTTTGAGTCAGGGGTCACTGACCCTCAGAAAAGTCAGTTGGGGCCACAGAAGTGAGATGCAAAAAAATAACTCCTCCAAAAAAGCCTCACTAATGTGGCCCCAACTGTGCTGATGGGAGCAGGGGACATGGTACTGGGGAAGGGTGCTAGTGGGTGATGAGGCAGGGGAGAAAGTTCCAATGGGGACAGGTTCTATGACTGGGGGCAGGTGAGAGGGAAGATGGTGCCGTGAGCGCAGGGGCAGGGTACCACTGGCGACAGGGTTCTGTGCTGGTGGGAGCAGGGGATACGGTGCTAGGGAAGGGTGCTAGTGGGTGCTGGGGTAGGGGACAGGGGGGGGAGAG